AATAAATAGGACACACATGTATAAATACCAAATAGTTTCTCTGGTGTGAGAAATTGAAAATGTAAATAAGGATTAAAACAAATAATTGACAATTTGAAATAGGAAAAGGTCCAAAGGTGTAGGAGTGGTGGGAGGGGAAAGGGAAACGGAAGAAGGGAATGGAAAAATTATGAGAAAAGAAAAAAAAAAAGGAAATGAAATCTGTGTAAATAGGGAAGGGTGGAGGGGGTGAAGGGCGCACAGGTAATGGGGAAAAAAATAAGAACCAAGATACGTCATGTACAAGTACAAGCACCCAATGATAAATGTAAATGGATTGTATACCTAAAATGTACCAATAAAAGAATTAAAAAAAAAATAAAGACTGGGACAGCTCACTTGCAAATTTGGGTGACATGTAAGTGAAGTCAGGCAGGATAAGCAGACATGGCAAGGAACCAGTTGGGACTGACCTATTTCTCTTTGTTCTTTGTGTTGGAGCATAAGATAGGAACTGTTATGAGCAGAAAAACACCACCACATTTTGTGTTTCTTTTGTTTTCATGCCTGGTACTTTTATTTTACAGATTCAGTGAAGGTATTGTGTGTATTTGTTGAAATTGGATAACCTGTTTCATGCATTGAAGGCAGGATCTGATCATATATTTTGACTGTGGTGCCATGTAAACCTTTATTCTTTGCCTGAGTAAAGAAATACAGCATATAGTCCATGATATATGAGGAATTTCCTCCCTGACAGACTTTATAAGTCTTTAGAGTAAATCTTAACCCCAAAAACAGCATCCTTGAATTTAACAATTGTATTGGTACAAAATAATGTCAGTATGTTCTATTGAGTCTCTAGAGCTAAAATTTTCCCATCCTTCCTTTCCACTCCCGCCTTGAGCTTCAGGGAAATAGGCAGAGACAAGGCTTGGAAACATGGTTAAGTGATCAATAAATATTTATTTAATGAGTGAATGAAGTTTGAAATTGAGTTCAGGCTGAGTATGCTTATTGAGGCAGTAATTTATTACTAATTATAATTAATGTTGATTTGAAACATTTCTTTACTCATCAATTTAAATAACAAAAGCACTACATCTGCTTTAAAATAATATTCTAGATATTAGTCTGAAATTACATTCTCAATCATAAGACATTGTTTTTCATTAGTTAACTGCAGCATAATTAGTGTCAGTGGGCACATGGCTCAATTTCACCCCTCTGTTCTCAGTGCATCTAAAGATAATACTCTCCAAAGGGCTGGTCAGGTGCCAGGAGAGTTCAAAAATAATAGCCAATGTTATTTGAAGGGTTTATGCCAACCTTTCCAAGCACAGGCATTAAAGAGCAGACATGCAGACAGCTCCAGGCCGCTCCTCTGCCCTCCCCTCCTCTTCAGACCATACTATGAGTACTGTGGGGTAGGGTGAAATTGTTATTCGGGATACTTTTTTTTTGAGCCAGTGATACTGTTTTTATTTTTCTAATTCCCTATGCTATTCTGTAAGGTTGATTTTGAGAAGTTAAATAAGTCAACAAAAGTGTTAAGTTCCCTTACTGATTTTAATGCTTTTGTGGTGCATTCATTAACAACAATAACAAAAAAAAAAAATAAGAGAGAGAGAAAGGAAGAGAAGAAAAGAAAAAGACACCCCCCCCGCCCCCCGCTGTCTGAGAATGAGCATGCAGGGAGTTGTGCTGTGATTTTTGATATTTTCACTGATCGCCATGCAACACAAATCTCCCAGAACAGGGTCTCCAGGAGCTGGACTAATATTCCTTGATTAGCAAGAAACCTAACTTGTAACTCTCATAGGATGGAGGCTTGCAGAAAGAGGTCTTGTGTGCTGCTATCAAGACTCCAGGCCATGCTATCCGACAGATTAAAGAGAATGGGGAAAAACGCACAAAACTCTTCCCGATCATTGCAAATCCAGAGAGTTCCATGTGCAACCCCAGCAAGGGCCACTTGTACTTAAGTGGTTGGACAGTGACAGTATGCTCCCACTGCCAATAGGTAGCACTACCAGCACTTTTTTTTTTTTCTGGTACCGGGGATCGAACTCAGGACCTTGTGCTTGTGAGGCAGGTGTGGTGCCACTGAACTAAATCCCCAGCCCCAGCACTTTCTTTTAATGTAAATGAATCATCTAAAAATAGCAACGTTGAGGATTTTTTAGAGAATGGGTATTAGAATTCTCTTTCCTTGCCAGGATTGTTTTAAAAAATACTGTCCTCTTTAACAGTCTTTATATCATAAATTGGTTTAACATCATCTTAATCCAAAAGTCTTCTCGTCACATCCAGGGGTGGATAGTAAGCCACTGCTGTGTTGGAAAACGCAGCTCCCTGCGATCCTAAACCTAGCATCAGTAAAGGACTAAAGGAGCAGAGTTTAAAATAAAAGAGACAGTTTTAAATTTAAATTTAATTTTAATAATAGAAAAGACAGTTTATTTGAAGATGGGGAAAAGGGGGAAGAGGAAGATGACAGACAGCTATTCTGGACAAGGAGGGAGTATATGAAAGTGAAATACTTGTGGATTTTTGTCCTCAGCTCCTTTTCATTTAGGACTAGTGATTTCTCCCACCCTTCATGTGGACACCTGGAAGTTGTCGCCATCTAATGGGCTCTCTGGCTGTCTTTGATCCTAATTTGAGCACCTCTACCTAGATTCTATCTGGCCGTTTGCTTTCTTCCTGTCCATTTGTGATGGATAAGTGTATGTGTGTGGGCTCATAGAAAGGTAACTTAGAGTTAATGATTAAGTAAAGGGAACATATATGCTTTATATATTAAATAAGAGTCCTTAGGTGGCTGCTCCTTTTATCTCCTTTGCATTCTTTCAGGTGGGTGAGGGGGCCTGGTTTTCCTGGTCTTTTATGTTTCTGGCTTTCTCAGTGTTCTGTTAACTCTTCTTGATAAATTCTTACCGTAATTATGTTACCTGGCTCCTCTCTCAAACTAGCTTCTCTCTCCCTCCTTTGTCTTTTTATTGCTCTAATTTTAGTAAGTTTTCCTATTGATTTTTAATAAAGCTCAATGAGATCTTATTTAATATTTTTTCCTGCTCATGACCCCCTGTTCCTATATTCTCAGCCAAAAAAATTAATAGAGAAAAAATTAATAAAGGAAATAAAATATTCTTGGAGTCACTAGCCACAAAATCAGTAGCTTTTTTGTTCTGAAAAAATTTTTTAAAAAGGTGTCTGGTTCTTTTCCAAAGAGCATTCTGGAAGGAACATACTGGACAAGAGTTGACAAGAATAGAAATGATTTGATAAAGTAACCTTAGTTGACAGTGGCTGTTTTGCTGAATCTAGCTTGCTAATTCCAGTGATCACAAAGGGAAGAAAATAAGTTATTTGACATTAATAAAAGATGTATATTCAATGCAGAATTGAAATATGAGTCATTTAGCACATTACATTATAGTTAAAATTATTTTCCCTTTGTATTCAGATCTTTCTCTGGAATTAAAGGACTCCAGCTAAAAGTTAACCTCCAACCCAACGATAATTACTTTTTCTATGTGAGAGCCATCAATGCATTTGGGACAAGTGAACAGAGCGACGCTGCCCTCATCTCCACCAGAGGTGCTTTCTCCTTCATATGAGCATTTCATTCATTCCCTCCTGGGACCCCCAGATGTTTAGAGGCAACTTCAGACAGTATCCAACCTACTGCCAGCTGAGGTTTTTGTCCTGAGGTCCCAAGACTGGTCAAGGGTCAAGATGTTTCCTTGATTTTTTTGGTTCAGAGGTTCTTGAGCTTGGCTGCTCGAGTTTAGCAATCATTCAGGGTACTTAAAATATAGTGATGCCCTGGCCCTAGTTGAGAGAAATGGATTGAACTGACCTGGAGATGGGCCTGAACATTCCCAGCTTTAGAAATCTTCCCATATGATCTTTGTTTCCCTCATGGTGTGCTGCAATCTGTGAGTATAGAATGTTGCATGTGGAGGAATGAGGATGTTCCTAGTCTGTCCTACTATGAGGCCCGTGAACAAGTCTCTAGTCTTGTTCTGGTTATTCTAGTTTGTGAGAATTAATATGTTTTGAATGGATGAATAACTCAAAGAATTGATAAAACTGTTCAATGACATTTGGGGGGAAGTACTCATATGATGCCAACAAAAGAAATGTTTGTCAGTTCTTAATTATTGTCAAAGGAAGTGAGAAAAGAAAAGGTGATTATTTTACCTTATCTGCAATACAGAGATGGCACAAGACTGAGAGGGGATCGTTAAGTCATTTGCCCCTGTGCCTGGGCCTTGTTTGGGATGCAGGCAGGGCAGCCTGGTGTCAGGGATGAGAGTTTCTCTTGTAGTCCCAGTAGGGCACCTAGAAGGTATGGATGCTGGCTCAGGAGACCTGGACAGGAGGGACACTCCCGTGAGGACAAACCTGTAGCACAGGTAGAGGTGACCAATCAGGGGCCTGCACTAATCCCTTATCATGAATGAAATTTTCAGCAGTGGATCTGAAAACTCTGTAGAGGGGGTTCTGATGTCAGGGGAAAGGGAGACAGAGTCCTGAAATGTGGGGCTTGGCCTAGCACTGGACATTGTGCCAATGTTTTCTTATTTTCTCAACTGTCATAGGAACCAGATTTCTGTTGTTGAGAGAAACAGCTCATCCTGCTCTGCAGATCTCCTCTGATGGGACGGTGATCAACTTCACTGAGAGGAGGAGGCTGACAGAGTGAGTGATGGGCAAAGCTTCGGCGTCTCGGGGACCTATGTGTATTCCTGGTGTAAAGGGTGTGCCTGGATGTGGCCTGAATACAAACGTGTGCACATCCCAGGAGCACTCATAACCCCTCCAGGGGTAGGGAGTGGCAGGGACAGTTCATAACTTGGAGTGAGTGTCAGTATTTTTACTGGGAACCTAAGCACAGATGGTTTTGTTTAGAATAGTGGCCATTCTAAGGTATGATCTCTGGTTCAATGAAGAACACAGTCCAGTAATAATTCTATATTTTCAATAACAAATCAGATTTTGTACCAACCACTTGAAAAGGAATAGCAGGAATTTAAGTTCCTATTCTGACCATAGACGTTTCCCCACAGTAGTTCCCACAAAAGGAAGCATCAAAGAAAAGAATCAAAAGCTGAGGATAGGGTGGAAGACTGAGCTGAAATTTTCCTGTACCCTTTCATGGTTATTTTGAGGGTCAAAATGGCCAAGTGAAGGAAAAATATGGAAAATTCTCAACATGCTCCTGCAGGTGCTCGGGCTCACAGTGAAGCACTGGGTGAGCTGGTGGGGACAGGACTTGCATGGTGCCTGCCAGGCTGCTTGTTGTCTGTCTGTGGCTCAGCTGAGGGCTTCCTGCTCCTGGAAATGGCCAAACCCTCACTGGGCTCTGGCACCCTCTGATCTTAATCTGTGTAAAAGAACTAATAATTGCAGAGTCATTTGTCAGCTACTCAATTGGGAATAATTGTCAAACAGCAGGCCTGTCTTATGTATCTTTGAGTCTTCAGAATCTACCATGGGCCCTGGCACATTGTGAATGCTAAAAATATGCACATGAATGGTTTCAGAAAAAAATGATTTAAGAAATAGATTGGGCTTTTCTGTCTTTTTTAGGTTTCGCAAAAAGAAATTGGCTGGAGGTTGGCAATAGTTCATAGATGATAACTGATGAAAATTGTAGTGTATTTTATAGAATTTTGTTTACTTCTTATTAGCCTGAAAATTAGCTCATAAATATCAGGCAGCCAGACCTTGCTCCAGGGAGTAGAGCTCATCTACAACCACCTCTCTGAAATGAGGTTGTTGGGTAAAGATGAGAAAGTGAAATACATTCCATTCCCTTGCATTAATCATTTCCTCGTCTGTTAAAGGGGAGAGGGAGAAGGTGCTGACTGAATATTAACACTGCTGAAATTAAAAATGCCTCCTTGCTGTCTCAGCCATTTCTAAGCAAAATTGAGCAATTCATGCAAACAAGGTCACCCAACAGCATTTGGAAGTGCTTGGGTTCGTTGCACTGTGCTTCTGGTAAAAATAGCTAAAGTGAGACAGAAAGGGACATTAACTGAGCTCCCAGGGCATCCACTGCAATTCGGAGAGGCCAGAGTTGTGTCGTGAAGAGTGGGCCACAGCTTGACAGAGCCCCATCTGACCTGGACAGGGCCACCTCTGCTCTCCCAGTGTAGCCTTGCCAGCTGTCTTGCCATTGGAGAGCTGCATCTTATTTGGTCACTGTGCCCAGGAAGCTCATTGTGTAAGCAGGCTGTGGAGATTCTTTTTTTACAAGTTTTGAAAGAAAACTTTGCAAGTCAGTTTCCCACCTTCTTCTTCCTAAAAGCAGAGATTGTGCCATTTCTTTTCTTCTGGCCATTATTCTAGTGATTTCCTGGTTCCCAGCTCCTTTGGGAGAGGCAATGTGCCATATGTGCAGGCTGTGTGAGCCGGTGGACAAATGTCAAATGCGTGACTGCTTGGGGTTAGGACCACAATGAACAGAAAATGACTTGAGTCCAATTCTAGCAGTTTCCATCCATGGAATTCTGCATAAAGGGAGTGTGAGGTTGTGAATGTGGCTGCTCAGGAGGGAATGGCTGGAGAGTCCTGTGCTAACTTTAATCCAATCAATTTTGCTTACAGAATCCCATCAGTTCTGGGTGAGGAGCTGCCTGCCTGTGGCCAGCATTACTGGGAAACCACTGTCACGGATTGCCCTGCTTATCGACTTGGCATCTGCTCCAGCTCAGCAGTGGGGGCCAGGGCGCTGGGACAGGGGGAGACCTCATGGTACATGCACTGCTCGGAGCCACAGAGGTAAGCTGGAGCCCTGCCTTTCCTCACATTATCCAAATGACACCCACCTGGTAAGGAGCATTGCCCCTTCCTGCCCAGGTTCTGAGCAAACTAAGAAAGATATTAAGAGTCAAATACATGGAGATTGAACTATTACTCTGATTACTGAGGAAGGTAGTTTTACAGAATGTGGCCCATGCCTGAGGACAAGAGAGTTGGTTATACTGAATGCTGCTATTGGGCAGAAAGGCCAACCCAGAAGCCTGCAGAGCAGAGTTGGTCCCTGGAGAGGCAGAGAAGGATGTGTGTCTCCTCATGACCAAGGTGCAGGGAAGAGGAGGGGCAGCTGAGCTATATGGCCAGATTTTCCTTCTAAACTCACCCTAAGATAGAGAGATGCCTCAAGGTGATGCTAAAAGGGCTTCATCTCAAAAAAGGAATCCACAGAGGGAGGAAGAAGTGGATCTCTAGCACTTCCCTGGGCACTGGTTCTATACCAGGAGTTGGGAAGCTACTGCACATGGGCTACTGTTTCCACAGGAGGGGATTTTAGGGGGAACATGTGGAGAAGTGGGAAAAGAGAGACAGGAAGGGGGGGGGCTAAGAAGCATTTATTTTATTGGGGGGAATTAGGGATCATTGCTGCTGGGAGCTCCCAGGAAACCACATGGTACCCAGCTCAGAGGGAGTAGTCGCCAGTGTGGGTGAGACTCTGGTCTAGGTCTGAGCCAGCAGTGGGCTCCAGGGGCTGAGGACCTTTGCATAGCAGGGAGCTCTGGGGTCACATAGTGGTTCAGTCAGGCTTCTGGACAATCCATGTCCCTAGGGGTCAGGCCCCAGATGGTCAAGCTTTGCTTTAGTCCTGTGTTTAGGTGAGTGGAATGTGTTAGTCAGCTTTCTGACACTGTAACGAAGTACCTGAGAAAATAAGCTTACCAGTAGCTATGGCTTATTTTGGATCACTGTTGCAGAGGTTTCAGTCAATATTCCTTTGGCCTGATGGCTTTGGGTCTGGGCAGTGTGGTATAATACAGCAGGAACACATGATAGACGAGACATATTCACCTCCTGGAGGCTGAGAAGCAAAGAAAGAGAACAGGGTGGGTTCTAGTGCCCCCTTCAAGGCACACTCTCATGACCTCACTTTCTCTCTTAGGCTCTTCTTCTATAGGTGCCACACCCCCCCAGTAGCACCACGGGCTGTTGACCAAGCATGGGCTGTTGGGGTCATTTAAGGTCTAAAATGTCACATGGAAGAACTGGTCTGTAGGAAATGGAGGTGGAAAAAGAGCTGGGAAGATTCCCAATCCTGTGGAACTGGTGGAGTCAAGGCTTCAGGGGATCTCTTTCCCTCCCTGGCCCCCATGGTGGGGACTGGCTGGGCACTGACAGGGCTGGGATTGCATAGACCAGGAACTTTACAGATAATGAAGAGAATTGCCTCATTTGGGTCATCTCTTCCTTGTTCCTGCCACCCCCGCTACTTGGATCTCTTCTTTCCTCCTACTCTATCTCTGCACATTCTTCCTTGGAATATGAGCTCCTTTGTCCCCAGAGGCTTGTCTAAAAGCTCTGGCCTCACTCTTGCTCCCTATAATTGCCACATGAAATGCTTGTGTGGCTCCAGCTTCCAGACCCTCAAATGTCCTGTCATCCTTCTCATTAGCAAGGCATTGAAAGGTCCCTGGTAATCCTGCACATCTCATATCCTGTCTCCCTGAACCTTCATCCTTCTTCATGAGCTTCTCTTTGCATGAAGCTGGTGACTTGCCATCCCCAAAATGGTTGAATTTCTGGGCCTTAGGACAGACATCACAGGTCCAAAGGTCCTTGGTCCCTGCTGTCTGAGCACTTACCCGGATCCAGAGGCCTCAGACTGCCTGAGTATGCCCCCAGCACACAAATCCGTTCTATAGAGAGATTTCTTGCTCATCTCTTCTTCTCTTCCATCTCTCATTTCTTCCCTTCTTCTGATTTCAGAGCCTCCCTCTCAGTTTCTAAGTCTGGTAGGAGAAAACCCTGAATTTGTGTTACCCCTTTGCTGGGGCTGATTCAGCTTTTCAGAAGTGGCCAGCAATTTCTCCCTCTCAGCCTGGCCTTGAACTTCCTTTCACAACCAAAACAGTGCCCTAAATGTGTTGAGTAGACATTGGAGCAGTGTGTGCCCTGACAGCGGTTTTCAGCCCTCGTCCCATTTTCACTTGGTGACAGTTTTTCCTGTCTGCTCTGTGTGGTGGGGTTCCTCTGTGGCCCTTTGTGTTCTCCAGAGAAGTGCCAGGTACACAAATATTATGCAGGAGCATGTATTGGATTTATTTGAATTAGAGAAATAAAAGGCAAAGCTCTCTGGCTGCAAAGCTGTAGAAAACATGGAGAAGATAGAAGGGAAAGTTGGTTTGGGGCAGCGGGAATGTATTCAAAGCATGCGGCTGGCAAAAGAATGAAATCTTTCTTAAACTTCATAAAGCCCCTTATGTAAGTTACCTATAAATCTTTAAAACTATAAAATTAATGCATTGTATGGAAGGCAAGCCTGCAGTACTTTTTAAAATACATAGCAGCCTCCAGGAAGTTTTATTCAAAAGAATGACACACCATGAATGCGGTAGTTAAAACATGTGGGCAGCTGGGAAAGAATTAGAATGTTGAGAAAAATCACAAGGGAGGCATATGTTGGTTATTCTGGGACAACCTCCTAATGTAGAAGGAGAAAATTATTCAAAATGTTTGTCTATTGGGATGAGCTATGCATTTGGCATACAGGAGGAATCTGGGAAAGTATTTGGGACACATTATTGCAACTTGTTATTTTTAATTGAAGCTAATGACTGAAAAATTGGTTATTTCCAAGTGATTTTCCTTCTCAAATTCTTCAAGATTTCCAAAATTCTAAAATTTCCCATTTGTCTCATTCCAGATACATGTTCTTCTACAGTGGCATCGTGAGTGATGTCCATGTGACCGAGCGTCCTGCCCGAGTGGGCATTCTGCTGGACTATGCCAACCAGAGGCTCCTGTTCATAAATGCAGAGAGTGGGCAGCTGCTCTTCATCGTGAGACACAGGTTCAATGAGGGTGTTCACCCGGCTTTTGCCCTGGAGAAACCTGGAAAATGTACTTTGCACCTGGGGATAGAGCCCCCAGATTCTGTAAGGCACAAGTGATCCTTGGCTTCCAGAGTTTGTAAGAGCAAGACCTGCAGGGTCTGTGGTTCTTTCTCTTGAGTGCTGTACATTACTCAGAAGGTCTCCCACACACTCACACTCAAAACAGCTACACACACAGCAGTCAGCACGCGAGCAAATGCCACAGAACACCTTGGCTTTGTCAAGCAGAGTGTATGTAAGGAGGAGGGAAAGAGCAATGTCCATATGTCAGAGTTCTTTCCTAGATTGAAAGGACTTACACTTGCCCTGGGAAACAATAGAGAAGTAGGCTTCCTCCTGTTTTGTCCTGAAAGACTCCTCTGACAGACAGGTCAGAGCGAAGGGAGATTTTCCTAGAGATGTGTCTCCTTCAACAAGGAGGCGTGGGCTTTTCAGAACTTGTCACTTCACTGAAGTACAGTGAATCTCAATCAGTAGAGAAAGTGTTCTAGTTGATCTAAATTTATTATATTAGCTCTTTTGTAATGATGTATACTGTAGAATGTAAGTCTTATTTCCCAGAAATTTTAAATGTAGAAAGTACTAGACATTAGAAATGCCTATTTTGTTAAATAAATGGTTAGTCTTGTAAAACAAAACTGCTGTGTGAGCTTTTTGCATGTAACTCACTAGTCTTGTAACCACAGATGCAAACTGCAAGAAAAATGCCCATCTCATGTCAGTGGGTTGTGCTACCTCTGATTTTCATGTGAGAATGTTATACACATACTTTTAAAAATTGAAAAACCCTCAGCCCATAGAAATCATACAATTGACTATAAAGTCAACTACCAGTAATTAGATATCTCTTTTTACTAAAAAAAATAGCATGTCAGTTTTAGGTATTATATTGAAATCTCTCAAAATCTCCCAAAAGTATGTATACTCTCTATAATGTAAATGCTTTCAGCATGTATATGGTTTTCTCTTAATCCTGTGAATTCAGTTATTTTCTTGAATTGAGAAATAATATCCTACTTTGGGGATATATTCTAAAACTTGTTTACTGGCTTTAAAAAGCCCAACTGGATCTTTACCTGCATTAGTAGAGACCCTGGAAACCCTTACCACGTTGTCATGAGCCATTGGCAGGATGGGTGCTTTGTGAATTTGCAGGAGTAGCAGGATATGTGTGAAGAATGATCTTCCCTTTTTCAAGCTCTGAAAGCGTTATTTTCAGGGTCTGGCTGATCAGCCACCCCTGGTCATCATTACTTTCAGGGCTGGAGGGTATGTAAAGTATTTGAAAATATAACAGCAGTAGCAGCAACCACATGAATTTTGGAATTTGTCTCAGTCTAAGTTCCTCTGAAAGTAGTTCTGGTAATGACTTGGTGCTGCTGTTTCCACAGGAGGGGATTCCAGGGGAACATGTGGGAAAGTGGGGAGAGACAGAAGTGGGGAGCTAAGAAGCATTTGTTTTATGGGTGGATCTTTACCATTGTGGGCAATTGGGGCTCACTCCTGCTAGGCGCCCCTCTAGAAACCACAGGGAACATGCTAAAGGGTGGCATTTAACCAACCCTCATCAGTGGAGGGCTGCCTGGAGTGGTCATTCAACTCCCCCTCCCACCCATCCAGGTTGAATTCCCTGAGAAAGCCCAAGAGAAAGAGTCAATGAGTAGAAAGGAAAAAAACTACAATAATGAGGAGGTCCAGGCTTGAGTTGTGGTTGAGCCCTTACTAGATGATCACTTTGGGCAGCACAGCTCAAATTCCTTCCTTCCTCCCTCCTTCCCTTCCCTTCCCCCCTCTCCCTCCCCCCTCTCCCTCCCTTCTTCCTTCTGCTGGGGATCAAACCCAGGGCGTCATGCCCACTAGGCAAACATTCTACCACTGAGCTATACCCTCAGCACAAACTCAGAATCTTAGTTATACTTTTGGTTACCCTTTCCTCAGGATAATTATAATCATGAGATAAAATAAGCACATGAAAAGGGCCAGAATTTGTAGTATATAAAACATGACAAATGACTGTAAAGCTCTTCCATGTTTAACCTTCCACACACCTGCAGCTCGCCTCCCTCCTGTCTCCTTGCTCTGTTGCAGGTGGATGGTGGGAGGTAGGATGCTGAGTCCTCAAAACCCATGCTTTATCTGTCTCTGTTGAGTGGTAGATTTCCTGATCGGTCTTCACTGGATTATTCTAGAGTGGACAGATGGGGATAAATAAATACAGTTTCTTCCACGGCCAAGCAACTCTTTCCTCCTTTGCCCTTCTCTGATTTCCATTGCCCCTTCTTTTCTCTTCACATAGCATGGAGGAAAGAAAGTCTGCATATCTTGGTCAAAATTGCTCCTTTGGACATCTTTCAATGGTGCTTTTCAGCTTAATAACATGTATAGCACATGAACTCTCTTAGTCCTCATCAGAATCTTGCACAGTGAAAACTGTTGCCATTTTATAGATGAGGAAACTATAGTAGCATCAAAGCAGTTAAAACTTGTTCACAGTCACAGACAGCAGGGGACAGAGCATGGGCTCATGTATAACCTGAAACCTAGCTAAGAATGAGTCTATTTTGTTTCATTTTTATCGTGGATTATTTTTTCCACATGTTCGTGTTGTAAGAATTACATATATATATATACACACGTTTATGTATGTATACATACATACATTCATATATATTCACTTTCCCTTGAACTGCCTTCCTGAGTCTCTGTTTTAACAATACCTGGCCAATATCAGGCTACTTAGATTCTTTCTTCAATCTGATGATTTTGTTTCATTTATGTCCAGAATTATTTGCACACAGAACTTTGAGAATTCAAGAGTATGTAGCATTCTATTTGTGGAGAAAAGACCTTATACAGTGAAACCACATTGCTTCTTCTAAGATGTGTTGGGTCCAAATAAAGAAGGTTGTGTGAAAGAAATAAGGATTAATGTGGTGGTTCTTTTCCATCTTTTTGTATACACACTGGCAACCTGGGACAGACCTGTTCTTTGTCAGACTTAAAAATGTCTACTGCAGTAAACCAGAGCACATTTCTATTGTTTTTCTGGAGGAGCTTCCTTAAAGTCCAGAAGAATTGAAATATTGTGTACTTCATCAACACCCTTACTCCCACCACTACCTTTACAAACCCCAATACTGTAAAAGCCAGACACTGACACTTTCACAAAGCCTTCTTCAGGCTGTGTCTGAATCACTCATTACCTGAATCACTCATGAATTGTCCCATGTTCTGTTGCTGATCAAAACTCACCAGCCTCACACAGTTGATACAGAACAACCTTAACATGGGCAAAGGACCTAGTGGAGCCACATAGCAGAGAGACAGGCATTGCAAGGGGGACTTGATATCACAGGTGTCTGTTTCTTGATCCTCTTGGTTGGATTGCACAATTTGTTCATCATCTCCAGGCTTCAAGCCCCTGCCCATGTGCATGTGAAGCACCTTGGTACCAGGAAGCTCAAATGATGTGTGAGGTGAATGTGGTCATGGTTGTGAGGCTGTCATAGTAAGCTGGTCACGTGAGCACTTTCTAGCTGTGCAACTAGTCCTAACCTTCGAAACTCACTTCCTACCCCACAGGCTTCATCAAAACTGAGTATAAATCATCAATCCAACCATTATTAACTGAATGATGCAGGTGGGCCAACGCATCCTGCTCAGAAAAAAAATCAGTAGATCCAAGGTTATAGAATGGTGCTTTTCAGGTACCAGAGTCCATGGCATTGCCCAAGGGCCAGCAGCTCTGTAGATATGCAGTCAGTTAATTAAAAGGACATGAAATTAGCCCATGCTAGGCACAGAGTCCTGAGCAGAGTCATGCAGTCCTGAGCCCAGCTGCTGAGGTGTGTTTCAAGAACACTAAATTAAGCACTTAATGCCTCTGCTGCTGATAGGTAACACTTTCCTGTCCCTGATTTGGTGACTGCCAGGGCCAGGAGTGATCCCAGGCATGTCCCTGAGCTGAACAAAAGTTGGGCTTGATTTCTAAGAAGGAAGATGTGTTCTGGGATGTTTTTAGTTCAACACCTCTTGTTTTCTTTTACTGTCTTCAAAGTGTATGTGGTTGTGCTCCTCTTCTATGGGGCCTTGTTTTATCTTAAGTGAATGCCCTTCCTCTGCTCAGTTTGTTTTTCCAATTGATGCCAGTAATTTCTGATCCAAAGTAATGTATTCATTTAAGAATAGTTTGAGAGGGCCGGGGATATAGCTCAGTAGTTCTGGCACCTGCCGCGCAAGCGCAAGTTCCCAAGTTCAATCCCTGGTACAATAAAAAAAAAAAAAAAAAAAAGAATAGTTTGAGAATAGTTGGAGGATGAAGAACATTTACCTTGGAACAAATACAATTTAAGGAAGAGTATAAGCAGCCTTCTAAGAACTGAAGAACTGTGACATGGAAAGAATTAGGCTTATTTTAATTTTTCCACTAAGACTGGTTGGTAGAAGTTCCACCAGTGGGTAGAAGTTGAAGAATTCTATTTGGGAGGAGGAAGAACACCCCAACAGGAAGGGGAGTACTGCTTAGTAGGTACTGAGCATTCATAGGCAGAATGACCAACTGTCTGGAATATCAAAAAGCAGATTCCTGTGGTTTTGAAACTGTGTCTCTGGTGTACTGGCATTCCACAGAGATGCCTGAGGGCCAGCACGGGTACGTGAGGAAGGCCAAGGGGGCATACATTTAAACACCTATCCCATTTTATCACAGCAACTCAGTTTTTATGTTTTATACATTAGGTTCCATATTTGATTAAAAGGTTTCTATAGTTATATAAAGTCTAAAACCTGTAAACTATCAAGATTCAAATTGAATATTGTGACTTAGAGTGACCCAAAAAGCTCTAAGTCCTATTTTCTTTCAGGATTTCCTTTCCTTTACTATCCAAATAGTGATATGATATAGATAGCAAGAAATTCTGTCTCCTGTTTCAAATTTCTAGAATTTCTAATTTCCTTATGTTTGCTTGGACAACACCTCTGACTTCCTGCTTTCAGGTTTTCATCCGTCACCTCTTTTTTATTGTACAGGGGATAAAACTGAGGACCTTATGCTTGAGAGGCAGGCGCGGCACCACTGAGTTAAATCCCCGGCCCCTCTTCACCTCTTGCAATCTCATCTTTACAAGGACATTCGGTCTACCTTATCCTCAAGCACAGGTACAGTGTTCCTTGGTCTCCTTAAGGCAGCACTGACGCCAGCTGACTTTGCTAGGGGATATGGCTTGTGTTGAAGAGTTAGGATTAATGAGGGGTATTTTTCATAGAACATAAAACTGAACATGAAACATCCAACTTTGTGAGAAGCACCTTCAGATTTGTCTTCCTGCCATATTGAATAGACAAACTTCTTCATTGTACTTCATTCCTTATATTCTTCTTAGACTTTAGGGTTTCAGGTCAGGCAGTGGAACTAGAAAACATCAAAACCTCTCTGACTAGTATAGATATCTTTTATCATAGTCTGAGAGCAAAATTTTGCCCACCTTTTCTCTGCCTCTTTTATCCTGCCCAAGCTTCTCTTTGCAGAACTAAAAGGCCCATTAAAGCAATTCTTCAAACCAGAGAACATGCCTCTTCAAAAGATGCATTTGGCCATTATCTCTTAGAATGATTTTGAAGTCCCCTTAGCTTCTCACTT